AGTGCTTCTTTTTGATCATCGCTTCTGTTCGCAAAATGGCACTTTTTGATTCATTCGAATAAAAATACATTTTTGTTACTTTTAATTTTCAAGTCAAAAATCTGCTGCAAAGCATCTTGTAATTATAAGGAAGATTTATAAAAAAATAATTAAATGTGACGAGGACTAAATAAGCTATATTTAATCACATTTAGCAGACGCCCGGCAGTGGTTTCCACTGACGTCACGCAAATCGACGCAAGATCCTACCTTGTATTCATTGAATCATGGCTTAAACGCCGCGCAAGTTGCCCCACTCTTTTCCCACCACCGGTCCACATGCAGGTATAAATACAGCAGTCGCACCAGTTGAAGAACGCCGTAATCGGAAAGACCCAGAGCAACTTGCGTTCTTTTTGGAAGCGAGGAGATTTAAATAGAGCCCAGCTCTTGTGTTCCTTCCTGAAAATGTGACTGAGCCTGTATAAAAAAATAGATGTTCCAGAACATAGACAAGGTGTTCAGCTGTATATATGCATGTGTTCACTTTTGCTAAGTTAATCAGATTGAGTTGCTGTGAAGTTATTTGAGGATTTTGATGCAAACAATCAGGAACCAAACGGTGCTCAGTAAAGGTAGTTCTTCGGTATATCGTTGATGGGCTCAGTGCACGTGCCCATGTTTTTCATGGTGACCAGCGACCTCGACCTACAATTTTCGATTTCCAAGAAGCAGGTGTTGCTGTAGGTCATGTTGTCGGTACCGCAAACTGGGTCGTAGTAGGTCGGGCATATCTTTTGGCAGCCTCTGAAGAGAAAGCCGGCGATGCATCGTTTCATCGGCACCACAAAGATGTGCTTCCTGCAATCGAAGGCAGGATTCAATCTTCAATTCGACGCCGATATGCATGGTAGAGGAAAGTAGTGCACTGATCGGCAATTACACGCTTTCGGGCTGATCTAGATTGGTTCATGTGGATGCATATTAACATTCCTGCTGATGGTTTTCAATTAATCCGGTCGTGATTGAATGGGGCACTGTGCTAATGCGATTTGGTACAACTTTTTTTCGGTGGTCGCTTTTTAGTGATTGTTATCCTTTCGAGGAAAGCGACAATCAATCAAAGTCTATGGCTTTTCTCTGCAGCCGATTTAATTTTCGATGTTTCAGTGATTCTTCCGAATTTAATCATCAACAGGAACATTAAAGAAGCAAAATGAAGATCACCTCCGAGTGTAGGCACTTACCCACAGTTATCCCGTTTCATTTCGCATTCACTCCTGTAAATCTTGTTGTCCGAGCCGCAAACAAAGTTCCTTTCGTCCGAACATTGTTCGTTGCAAGATGCGGTTGTTCTGCAATGTTGCAGTGGGACCTCGATAACCAGTTGGCCACATGTTTCCTTTTTCAAGTGACAGTGCGATCTACAAGGAGGAATTGCAAAGGTTTAGGGCAACAAATTTTTTTGCAACAAAATGGTGCCAAAACATCTCCTCTAGCTTGTCTAGACTTTTGGCAATTCATTTTTGAAAGTACTGCTGCAATTTTCAGCGAAGTTTGTTTTGTAAATTTTGGGCAAAAATCCCTCAATTTGCCACTTACCTTCAACCTTCCAAGGGCTGAAAGGAACTTTAGAGTCTTTTCTTCGACAATTGACCAAAACAAAGTCTCTAGCTTGTATAGCTGATGGGTAATAAATTTTTGGAGAAAACAGTTGAAATTTTCATCGACGTCAAATGAAAAGTTCGCCAAAAATTTTGCCAAAAAATCAATTAAATTTTTTACTGGAGTGCAACTTACCACGGATCTAAAGCTACATTTTCTCTTCAAAATTTTTCCAAAAAACATCGAATCACCTGCTTACTTTTTTAATAATACATTTTTGAAAAGACAGTTGCAATTTTCCTAGAAGTTAAACCAAAAAGTTCGACTTCAATTTAAAATTTTGCCAAAAATGGCCGAAATTTTCTCTGCAAGTCCAAATTTTCACAGATCTAAAGTTACATTTTCTCTTCCATATCGTAGCAAAATAAATCATATAAGTTTCCTAGATTTTTGATAATAAATTTTGAAAATGCAGTTATCATTTTCATCAAATTTAAATCAAAAACTTCACTTTACTTTTGAAATTTTGACAAAAACAGACCAAATTTTCCAATAAAATCCAACTTTCCCAATGTTTATGGCATCTTTTTCTTTTAAAATGCTTGCACAATCAACGCTCTAATTTGGATAGTTTTTTGGCAATTTTTAAAAAATTTGGCAACTTRGRATTTTTGCCAGATGTTGCCCAAATTYCCCATTAAACTTAAAYTTTCCAAGGATTTGGAGCAATATTTTCTCTKCAATATGTTGTCAAAATAACYGTTYTWGMTTGGCTAGTGTTTTGGTAATCMACGTTTGAAAATACAGTTGCCATTTTTACCGAAGCAAATGGAACAGTGCGATTTGGAAATTTTGTAAAAAATCGCCCGAATTCTCCATTCACGTGCAACTTGCCAAGGATTTAAAGCTAMGTTTTCCCTYCAAAATCRTGCCYAAATAGTTCCTCTGACTGGAYCGGTTTTTTTGTAATTAATKTTTGAAARCGCRGYTGCAATTKTGATGGAAATCAAATTAAACAGTTCGAGTGCACATTTTAAATTTAGACAAAAGACGACGAAATTTTCTGTKCAAATCTAACTTTCCAAGGATTTASAGCAGAGTTTKCTCCTAAAAATTGGGCGAAAATAAATCCTTTAGCGAAMTTAAAAATTCGACTTTATTTTGTAAAATTTTCGAAAATTCGAGTTAATTTTCCATTCAACTCCAACTTTAYGCGATTGAATAGCTGCTKTTCTYTTCAATATCGTCGGCAAAAAAATTCTCAAGCTKGACCAGGTTTTTGGTAATAGAAATTCGAATTTTTAACTGTAAAAATGAAACAGAAGTTCGGTTCCACTTTTTAAATTTTGCCAAAATTCATCCAATTTCCCTATTCAAGTGAAACTTTCCAGTCATTTAGAGCAATATTTTCTCTTCAAAATCGAGTCAAAACAAATCCGGTAGCTAGGCTAGATTTTTGGTAATCAATGTTTTAAAACACCAGTGTAATTTTTACAATTATGTTTAAAAAAAAATAACCGATGTATTAAGCGGGTAATTAAGATCTTGATATTTTGATGTTGATTAATTAGGTTGAGCCCGCATGAATGATGACTACAATTTAGAAAAGCCATTACCCTAATTAGTTAGAGCGCTAGCGAAAGCCAAGATTGAGCTCGGCTTACATTTCCATTATGAACTTTATAGGTACCTTAATAATTGCTCTGGAAGGCCAACATCGGAAAGTTATTTTACAACCTATTTAATCCTCGGTCTCCACTGGCTGAACGGACAGAATATTCGCTTGCCAGTCAAGAAGTTCAAGGGTTTAATCGGGAATGAATGTCGTTTTGCCGTCAATTCAACTTTTTAATCATTAGTGATTAAAGGAAAGTAAAAGAAACTCAAGGACTGTTAATTAAAAAAACTAATTAACGAGACTTTTTCGCTTAATTTCCTGTCCAAAGTTTCCGATACAAACATCAATGGATCAAACATCAATGGGACAAAAATCCCAAAAGTCCAAGTCTCCGATAATTTAGAACAGCATTGTCGCATCAAAATGCCACCAAAATTACTGCTAAAGTTTGGATGGTTTCTTCATAATTATTTTCTGAAATTACAGTTGTAATTTGCATGGAGCTCAGATCAAATAGTTTAAGTTCATCAGACTATGAAGGCTTTCACGGCCGGTTAAATCACATTTAGGAATGTTTGCCGGGCTTTGAAGCCGTGGTCTATGGGATTTTCTTCCTGACGTTTCGTCCACAACTGCGGTGGACATTATCAAAGGCGATGAGGCAGTGGGCGAAGTGATCTCCCGTGCTTTCCGACTAAGAC